GTAAATGGCACTCCCTCGTCATTTTAAAAAAAAATAAAAAAGTATTTTATAAACACAATTTAAAAAAAAATATATTTCCTAAATGAAATTTTACATTTATTAAATTTTCAAAATATATTAATAAAAAAAAAATAACCTTGAACACTCCTCTTAATTTATAACGTGCGACCCAATGTCACTTTCAATGTAATACATAGTATATTTGAATAATTAACAAGACGACAAATGGAAAACCGTTTCATTGAAACTAGATTATACATCTCACCCTCGCTGGGCTTCATCAGAACAAAAACGAAATAGTTAAATATGTGCATGTTTAAATAATAAATCGTTAGTACTTTTCCCCTAAACTAGTGTTTCTCGTGATGAAAGTAAAAAATGAAATTGTGCGAATTTTGTAAAAAAAAGCTGTTCATATTTATTCTGTATCTTTTTTTTTTTATCATTTTCTTGTTCTTGTTGAAATTTATTTATACACTCTCTCAGCTTTTCTGCACCGAATTGAAGGTAGTGGCTCGAATGTAAATGATTCCTATCGCCTTTTCTGAACTGAATTCAATGTAAATCCTTATTCAACGTTTTCACCCATTTTATGCACACACATTATAATCTAATTAATAATGCTTTCAACATAAGAATCACTTATTTACGAGGGTCATCTGAAAAGTTCATAGGATGACTGGGATACTTTCACAGAATGTGACCAAATGAGGTTTATGTTTCAACATAATACTCCTTGCAGTCCACACACAACTTCCATTAGTATTAGAGAGCTTGGACACCATTGGTGAAGAAGCTCTGGTACTGTTGGTAAAAAAAAGTCACCAACAACAGATATGACGACATCGTCCCAGCCAAGTTCTTTTCATATTGGGGAACAGATGATAGTCATTTACAGACAAACCAGGAGAACAGGAAGGGTGATCAATCAGTTCAAAGCCACAGCAACGCACAACAGCCAGTAAAACCAACGACTTGTGTTCCGGAGCATTGTCCAGGTTAAACCAGACACATTTCATATGTTTTCCTGGCCCTTTGGCCTTAGTAGACTGTCGTAACTGCTTTAGCAAGTTGACAGAGTGTTCTCCATTTATGGTGTGGGCTTCTTGAAGGAAAGGCAGAGTCTCGTCTCGGGAAACAGCTACCCAACCCCGTTTTATACGGTGTCTACGGGGAATTTTTGGCCGAGCCTGCGGGCTCGGATATTCCACGTTAAATTCAGTCTTGGGCCATATTTGACCACGTGGGACGGTTGCTAGATGTTCTACCGTTGGAGATTCATTGTGGAATACACTTGACGCACTTCTTACAGTTGACTACATATACGCGCCTCTGAAAAATCTTATATGTGTTGTTCTTGTCCTAAGTATTATCGTTCATTACCAACCCTTGTGTGATTATTGTATTCAGTAACCTTCCCTAGCTTAAACATAAGAAGAGAGAACAATAAAAGAATAGGAATTAAGAACGATTGGCATTGTATTTAATCTTTTGAAGATCACAGTTGACTGGAAAGCAAGAGGCCGGAAGCAACTTTCACAAGCGAAAAGGGCTTAAGGCCACATTACGTTGAAATTCCGTTTCCCGTACCATCATTGAAGTTAACGTCGAGCCTAGTCAGTACCAAGATTGATGATCGTTTGGGAATACTGGTTGTTGTACGCTTGGATGTAAGGATGGTTTATTGGATAATGGCTCGGAATTTTTATTCGGAGAGCCGGGTTCGAATTCCTGTTGGGTTCGTTATATTAATTTACGCGCAAATACCCTTAGGAAAGGCATGAATCCACCTCTTCTCTCTCCCCAGATATGGGTTAATTAGTAAGACTTGTATCACTAAACCTTTTATTATCTAAAAAAAATAACATATGGAGGTTGATATGCGGTTAAAAAAAACGATCAACCAAAAGTGTGATAGAAAAAACTGTTAGCAGAGAAATTACGGTTATATCTAGACATTTCGACTATAAGACGATGAGAGCTTGCCGTCAATTTAATAATAATTCATAAATATCGGTATCAATGATGAAAGCTCATCAGAACAATTAAAATGAAAATATTTATCGAAAAGACACAGGGAAGTTACATTAAAGCAGCGAGAGAGTTATTGAAAACGTGATGACAGGTCAGAAGCAATAATATTGCATATTCTTCTTTTATCAAGAAAATCTAAATACGTAGCAGAAGCACCAGACCAGATGTTCCAGTATTGTGCCATGCATGGACGAATGGTAGATTTATAAATATGTAAGTTAGATTCTGGAGAGAAAAATTGTCTAGCACGACAAAGAGAATAAACTTTCCTAGCAACAGACATATATTTAAGAAAAAAAAAACAGTGTGCAGTGAAACGTAGAAACCAAGAAAGGGACAAAACCGGCTCTCATTGATATTATCAATCTAGCTCAACATTTTTACGCATATATCTCCAAAGCTTTCAAAGAAAATATATATTCATGGAGTTGATGTACTAAGAGAACTCATTAAAAGAACTGCCATGAAAATATTTATAGGAAAGACAGAGGGAAGCCATATCATGATGATAATGATTTGTATTTGTATTGTTCTAAACCTTGCATAGAAACAATATAAAGTACTTGGATATAACGAATGATTATAATGACAGTATATTTCTATTGTTCTAAGTCTTGCATAGAAACAATATAAAGTACTTGGATATAACGAATGATTATAATGACAGTATATTTCTATTGTTTAATTCTTGCATAGAAACAATATAAAGTACTTGGATATAACGAATGATTATAATGACAGTATATTTCTATTGTTCTAAGTCTTGCATAGAAACAATATAAAGTACTTGGATATAACGAATGATTATAATGACAGTATATTTCTATTGTTTAATTCTTGCATAGAAACAATATAAAGTACTTGGATATAACGAATGATTATAATGACAGTATATTTCTATTGTTTAATTCTTGCATAGAAACAATATAAAGTACTTGGATATAACGAATGATTATAATGACAGTATATTTCTATTGTTCTAAGTCTTGCATAGAAACAATATAAAGTACTTGGATATAACGAATGATTATAATGACAGTATATTTCTATTGTTTAATTCTTGCATAGAAACAATATAAAAGTACTTGGATATAACGAATGATTATAATGACAGTATATTTCTATTGTTTAATTCTTGCATAGAAACAATATAAAGTACTTGGATATAACGAATGATTATAATGACAGTGTAATTGTACAAAAGAACTGTTGTAACTTAAAACGTTACATTCCTGAAATATTTTTGTACATTCCTGAAAATGAAATACGCGAATGTTCATGTCCTGACTATCAATTAGTATCCAAACTCGAATTTTGATCCCTTAATGTGTTATAGTTCTTTCCTATTTCAAATTTCTGTTTTACTTCTCATTAGGATTGCTTTTCAGCTTCAAATAAGCATTAATTTCGCTACGCATTTACAGTGACTTGAATTAAGCATCAGTATTGTTTACGCATGATATAGTGTAGGAAAAATCCACTTACCGTGAAATAGGCTGCGGCCAACACATTCCTTCGTTTATAACAGAAAATGGTTAATGGAATAACCCGGATATGCTACTTGTAGTGTCGATGTTATAACCCGGATGTGCTGCACCTGGATTAGTGCACCTAACTCTGAAAGCACATAAAGTTCGTAAAAGTGAACAAGTGGGTAGAGAGAAAGTCAACGTGTTTAGTTTTTGTAAATAGTTTCTCTTTATACTTTACATGCATATTGGGGATTTTTTAAAATTCCTCCCCCCCACAGACGGCGATTTTTAGATATGGGGACTATTTAGGATTTGATTGAGACAATGAGGCATTTTGGTGGATGTAGTAAGAAAGGTAAGTAAGAATGTGTTGTTTTGGTGCTAGGATTATTGTTTGTGTGTTTGGGTCAGTGGTTGTGGCTAGCTAAGTTTTAAATTAAGACAGATGATGATTGATTTTTACCCCAGCCTCCTTTTTAGGCCTTGTTCCACATTTTCTGTGTATTTCTACAGAAATAAATATAAGAGAAAGTCGACCGCTGCGAGAGTGGATTTGCGGCCATTTGAACGTGTTGCATTGTGACAGTTTGCTTTATTTTACTCGACATTTCTGGAGAATGAAGACCAAAGCTAATGGTAGAAAATGGCTATTATTTTGGGATTCTACACTCCAAATTCTTCAAAATTAGCCCAAACACACAGTGAACGAGTTAAATTATTTTCTAGGCCCGTGTAATTCTATTTTCTAATTCCCTGAACATATTCATTGTCTCGTATTTTAATATCTCTTATGCATAAATGATGAGCGATTTGATAGTTTAAAATTCTTACCAGGGTCAGTCGTAGGACATTAATAAAAAAAAAATGATAATCTCACATTCCTTTAATAATGACTTTTGTCGGCCTTGTAGCAAACTTGGCTAAATTTCATAAATGTCATCATAGAATTTGAATATAGTACCCAAAGAATGCCGACTAGATTAATTTGTTAAACCTATATTCGTTCTATTGATTTTTCGAAAAATATATCAAGCATCCATAGTTGGTAAGCGAATGATAGTAAAGCATAATTAAAAGTTTGCCAGATCACAATGTCAACTCTTTGCAGCAAGCTCCCAATTTGATTATATCTTAATAAAATGCAAGCAACCAATTCTCTAAGGGCAATGAATTTTCCACAGGCTTATATGTTGATTACAATGGACTCATTGTGACGCCTATCTTTCTCACCTAAGTTTGCAGATCGATGAATGGTTAGATTGCGATCAACTTGCTCGGATTAGCTATCTCTTATAAGCTAAGAGATTTGCTAGTGACTTTGGAAGTATTTATCTACTGAACAACATTACAAAGTAAGGTCACTTTGATAGTTTGAATTTAGAGATATCAAACTGACTCAAAGTTCGATGAATGGAAATATTCGATCGATAATTTTGCTTGAGAGGATTTCTTTTATTTCCAGTAAATAATGAGTTCGAATGAAAACTATATAGAATGTCATACTTTTTTCTTTTTTTTCCACATTCAGTTTCCGTTCTTTCTTTTTTTTTCTTCATTTACTTATTTAACTTCATTTGTTGCCTTTTTAACCTCAAAGTTACTTTCCTTCCCTCTATTAAGATTCTTTTATTTTTACTCAAAAAGCTTCTTTTTTCGTTATTTGCTTTCTGGCTTTATTTAGACGTAACTTTTGATTTTTGCTCTCAAAGTTACTTTCTTTCTTACTTTCTTTTTTTCTTTCTTTCTTTTTAGATTTTCTTTCTTTCTGTGTTTGCCTTTTTACTCTAAAAGGTTCTTTCTTTCTTTCTTTCTTTCTTTTTAGATTTTCTTTCTTTCTGTGTTTGCCTTTTTACTCTAAAAGGTTCTTTCTTTCTTTCTTTCTTTCTTTCTTTTTAGATTTTCTTTTTTTCTGTGTTTGCCTTTTTACTCTAAAAGGTTCTTTCTTTCTTTCTTTCTTTCTTTTTAGATTTTCTTTCTTTCTGTGTTTGCCTTTTTACTCTAAAAGGTTCTTTCTTTCTTTCTTTCTTTTTAGATTTTCTTTTTTTCTGTGTTTGCCTTTTTACTCTAAAAGGTTCTTTCTTTCTTTCTTTCTTTCTTTTTAGATTTTCTTTTTTTCTGTGTTTGCCTTTTTACTCTAAAAGGTTCTTTCTTTCTTTCCAACTTGGTTTCACTCTTTATTTATTTGATTTTTACTCACAAAGCTACTTTCTTTATTCTTTTGCATTTTTGTTTCTTTCTTTGTTTGCATTGTTACTTGAAAACTTCTTTCTTCTTTCTTGCTTTCTTTCTTGCATATTTTATTTATATCCCTTCATTTGTTTGCTTTTTTACTCTTAACTCTTCTTTCTGTTTTCTTCACTTCGCTACTTTTTTAGATTTTCGAAGATTCTTTCTTTCATTTAATTAATTACATTCAAATTTTTCGTTCTTTCTATGATTCTTTTTTTTTCAATAGTTTTTTTGTCTCTTTTTCTTTTCCTTTGCCTTATTATATTTAATTAACATTGGCATATGTTTTTGAAATAATGATTGACATAATTTGCAAAAAAAAAATCATAAACAAAAAACTCAGACTTTGTTCATTGGTCGATTTAAAAAATCGACGGAAACAAATTTATTGCATTTTTTTTCGTTCGTTTGAAGTTTTTCCGTTCGCTCGAATTTTTTTTTCCGACAGAGTACTTTATGTGATATTTCTAACTAATATATTACAAAATGCAATCGTCAAATAGAATTACTGACATATTTCAACCGTCGATTTTAATCTCTTTAAAAAAAAAATAAAAGAACTGAAATGAAATGGTTATGAGAAATTGATAGATAAACCAAATTATCGCAATACTTTGATTATATATCCGATCATTGCAAAGGTTCGTGTCGGATTTTCATTGTTAATATAAAATTATCACAATTTGATATTGGTGCTGATTCCTGGTGTGTTTTAGATTGGAACCTTTCAATGTTCAGTTGTGAGTCAGACTTTGTTGAATGTTAACGTTTCTGTCGATAAATAAATGATTTAAAAATGGAGGACTAGAAATTGCACTTTTACCATATTATGCTTAGTTGATTTCGAAAAGAAGTAAGCACCGGAAGTGAGACAAGAAACATTCAGAGGGCTTATTTGAATCCAGCTTCAGCTCTTCGGATAGTCAAAAAAGTGGTTTGGCGGATTTCGTCAGTGGGATTTTAACCTAAACGATCGACCACACTCCGGACGACCTTTCGACGTCGATGCAGACGTTGTGATTTTCATTGTGGAGAGTAAACCGAAGTTTTTGGAGGAAGCGATTTCTCAAAGTTTGAATATCGATATCCCAACTTGCTTTTTGCCATTTGAAGAGACTTGGGTTCAAGAAAAACGGCCGCATTTGGCAATTGCGTCATTTTCAACCACGCCAATACAAGAGGACATGTTTCAAAACAGACCTTGCAGAAACTAAGCCTTAATATAGGAAAACTCTCCAGCACCGACTGTATTTTTCTGATTTGCCTCCTTCGGATTTTTATTTGTTCAGGTCTCTAGGAACCAGTTTAAATGGCAACAAATTCACACTGCTTATTCCAACAAAAAAAATCGAAAATAGCATCAACATGTTTGTAGAACAATTGGATACAGTTGTTAAAAACTTGAGTAGTAAATGTTTATTATGAATATATGTCATATAGGAAGAAAATGAATAACTACCGACACCGGGGTTCGAGCGTGATACTCTGGACTTAAGATTATGTTTTTCGCCAGGTGTATAAAATGCAGTGTCAGCCTACTGACTGGAGTGATTACTCGGTGAGTATTGAGTGGAACTATCCAGTCGAATTAGTGTGAATTATTGTGCGTCGATGATTTGAGTTTTTATTTAGGATTTACTGGACGTAAAGCCAAGCCTCGCTACTAACAACGTATTCACTGAAATGGTTAAATATCTTTGGTTGACTTTTTACTTCTTTGTTCTTATTAAGTATTTATTTGCATTCCTAATTAAATACTGTTTTATTTTAACATTGAAGTCTTGAGTTATACTTAACTATTAACGGCCACCATACGTCACAAATGTAAGTAAAATTTTGTTTATCATTTTCTAATCGAACACGAATTTTTACAACGATTAATATTTTAATTTGCAAAAAATCAAACCTCCATATCTATATATCTAGCTGGATTAGAATAAGTGATATCATATACAGATCAATGTGTAAACACGTTACAAATTAAGGGGTGTGTGATCAGAACTCAATCTCTAAATTAATGTACTGTATAATTTCCTTGAATTTAACACTCCTTTATTTAGATTGGAAAAATAAAAAATATCGGTGATTTTGTTTGAAATTAAGCCTAGATAAGACGTAAAATAAGATAGATACTCACAATTTGACGGTTAGATTAGCACGAAGGGACTGATGATAGACGTACAAGTTTTCATCAATTCCCATTAATTAAACAGGTGATGCTCATTATCAGTTAGCAAAGGAAAGAAACAATTTGATTTTTAAACAGAGAGCCATTCTATAAGATACACATCTTTTTAAAAGAATTCTTCTTCTATGTGTCATTTCCCTTCAGGACGTGAGCGATCCTGGCTCTCCATAACGTCTTATCACTTCTAGCTCTTAGTAACTTTTTTTTTTTATTTGCTATCTCACAATCTGTTCATTCACTCGAGCTCGTCAGGTAGGTAGGTGGCTTGTTGCATCACTCTATTCCTTTTGCTGTCGATATGCCATATGAGTGCCACTTTTACCAAACCTTCTTTCCACAAAACTTATCGCAGAAATTCCAGCTGTCTCTTTTTGATTCTATGTGTATGTGCTCTTTTTGTTTTCATCTTCCTTAAGTCTTCTTCGTTGCTTACGCGCTCCGACTAAGGTATTCTCAGCATCCTTCTGTAGAACTATTTTATGTAGTCTCAATTTTTCGTAATTATTCCTACTCTATATCATGGTTGAATATTATTTCCCAATTTTTGCTCCTTCAGGATGTAGTACAGAATAGTTCTCAGTCTAACCAAGATGGGATTAAGAAATATGATGTCAGATTCGGAAATGTTGGGAGGTAGATAACTTTTCAGCGCACCTCCATCATAGGCATAGAGTTTGACCAGCACACTTCCGAAGTAAGCTGGAGAATGATCAAAATGATTTTCTAAGCGTAGCTTAGATAAGGCACAAAGCCGAAAGTATGGGGGCACCCAGTGAGAATCGAACTCGCTATTCAGTCTTAAATGATCTAACGAGTCAAGCTTGCTAACTTCGACGTAATTGTGACCGCAAGTTCCTGCATGTTATGTTATAGCTATATATGCAGGATAGATAACAGTTTCCCCGAGAATTAATGTATTTAAGATAAGATGACATTGATTGGTGAAACATGGTTTCAGGAGTTTGTTTCACAGCGTAACAGTTTTGTCAGAATGAAACATTCTCCTTACCAATGAAATACGAATGAGTAGTTCATCTGAACATGTAAATAATCTACCATAAAAATAGTTATAGAGTAGTGTGTGTGGGTTTGTTGTGGTCGGAATGATTCATGACCGCGTAAACGCATTTGAAGTCTGCCAAGTCTTGAAAGTAACGATTGGACAGCACCAGCCCAAATATGGCAGTAAGATTCCCAGGATCATCGAGATCTGCCATGAAAAAAAGCTAAAATCATCGAAATATGTAAAAAAAATGCTAAAATTCTCGAAACAAGCTATATGTTAAAAGTTCTGTAAACATCAATAAATCTAGAGGATTTCTCGAGATTTTCTCTGTGATTAGAGCATTATCGAAAAATAGATAATGAAAATACTTTTGGTCTATCCTAATAATTCGCGTTGTTATTTGCTTTTACTTAATTTAATATATTCTGTTGACAATAGTAAGGAAAATATAACAGTTTTAAATTCACAATACTTTAGGTTCCATATTTTGGTAAAAATGATTTAAATTCTTGATATTGTGGAGACTAGTATACGAACTAAAATGGTTAAATTTGCAAAACCGTAATCAATTAGTTCCCCAAATTCTCCTGTTCCATATAAGTGTGAATTGGTAACGTTAGTGCGAGGTTATACTGCTGCTGATGTACTATCATTAGCCACGGTAGCAATTATAACATTACTGGCCTATGACAGTGCCACATCATAACATTCTTATTGCTCCGGTCCATTCATCCCTGGTAGTCGATTCGGGAATCTTCTATCGGTCTTTCCGCGCCCACGTTGTGCTGTTCAGATACTGGAAAAGATGTGTCCAACAGTTTGACAGATCTCTAGAACAAGCTGATATCGGCTGTACCAGTTGGATTACAGAATTATTATAAATAATTCCTGCCGAGTAATAACTCGACGCTCTTTATATAAACAATAACAAATTGGTTTAATCTGATGTCAGCCATATTCAGTACTGTTGGTGCTGTGAGTGTAAACATTTGATAAACATTATTGGAAAACTGGTTTAGACATGTTTTGTGTATTTCTGTCTGGCAATTTAATTATTGCTGGGACCGCTTCGATTCAGTAAAGTTTCGCTTCTGTCGAATTCTTTTAACGGCTTTTCTTTAGCGACTTTTCTCGCAGCCTTTCAGACAGCTGGTTTCACCCTCCACCAATAAATGCAACATTTGAGAAAAAAAAAAAAAAATCAAGGACCTCACAATGTATACAACAAGTGGTTATTGTTGCATGGTAAGTAAAGCGGGGTTTTGCTCGCACAGCAGGGGTGGGGGTCGATTTCTCGGAAGCAAGAGAGATGCGGCAAGAAAGTTTCTTTCTTGAGAAACATTTACTACTCGCATGGACTTGTACGATTGTAGAGGGCCTTCATTAAATCTACCAGTTATCTCGTCGATGTACGTGCGTAATCTATTTCCGGTTTGTCCGATGCGAACGCAGTTTTACGTTGGTTTCACAGATTGGCGTTTCCTGTAAAATGGTATTACAGAAATTGTCATAATTAATCTGGTGCGACAGACCGAAACAGTTTAGAAGTCGTTTATTTCATTGACGTCGTGCAGGAGCCACGGAGGAATAGTAATCATAGTTATCAAATGGTCGTGGATTCATTTTTTAACAGTAATATATGTGTACATTATTTGAATAAACATAAACAAACTAATCCGCTTGAATTTCTGCGATGACAGATGTATCATTATTTATCCTATTGTTATACCTCAACGTACCTATTCTATTATTAATAGACTCTCCCACACATAATAAGTAGTAGTAGTAGTAGCGGTCGCCAGTTGAGCTCAGTGGAGTTGAGTGAGTCAGTTGATGTCGGACATTGAAGTATCAACCACCACAACTAGATTGCTGCGTCATTAACTATTATTTGCAAGTTCCTAACGTTTTGTACGTCGGACCCTTTTAGGACCGACTTAGCGAAATACAAGCCTCCACTGTGAAAACTACTCTACAACACCTA